CCTAAATCTCCTTCAATGGCCCTCCCCCCAAGAGCTTTTCTTCTTTGTCACGGATCTCTTTTTCCACAGCAGGGAAACAGCCCAGCAGGTTGCTGACTTCACCCTCTGATTCATGCTCATCAGTCACGTGTTGGTCTTTTTTCTGTCCCTTTCTCTACAAAATATATTCCATCTCAAACTGGTTTCCTAGGAAACCGAGCCTCAAAAACAGAAATAGACTGGGTGGAAAACAGAATACTCCAAAAATTCTACTTTGCAATGTTCAATAATGAGGGAACCCAATTAACAGAAGCAGTAGTAAATTTATGTAACTAAAACGTGTGGATTTTTCCTCTGTAGATTTTAAACTCGTCTTTGGATCATGCCCTAAGGACAGCAACCATTTTGAAACAAACTACTGATCAAATGATTAGAACTATTGCAGAAGATCTTGCCAAAGTAGAGAGATGGAGGAATAGACTGAAATACTAGTTTGACTCAAGACAACCAAGGATTAAAATAAAATGCAGAGAAAACTTGGTCTTCACCCCAAAAGTATTTTACTTATTACACAACTTATGAAGATGACTTTCTAGAGAAAACACCAAAACTGCAAGAAATGGGGGACACAATGTGCTAAAATGAAATAAAAAATGGACCTCTGATTCTTAAAAATCAAAATCAACACATATTTGCTTAAAAATAAATCTGTTATTCCTAACTCATAATAAAAGAAATCAAAATAATGAAATATACTTTTACCTATTAGTGTGGCAAAAACTAAAGTTTGAAAGGAAGTAAAAATGTGCTTCAGAGATAGTAAATCGTTTCAGTTAGGAGCAACAACAAAAAAAGTCTTTTTCAGGGTCTTGATACCAGAATCTGTAACGGCTCATTCTACCGAGGGTGGAGTGGGGTAGGGAATCAGCTTATACTAGGAATTTATGTGTGATGACCTCTTATGTCTTCAAATCCAGTAAGAAATTTAGGAAACAAAGGGTCTCTCCAACTCTAAGCCTAAAATGCATGTGAAATTTGAGGCCTAAAATGTAGGCCTCAAAGGATCTCCTATCAGTGTGATAGGGCAGAGTGATCATTGAGGTGTGCAGTGATTGAATGAATGGACCAATGTTTGCTGTCATCACACTCTTAGCTCCATTTGTCACAGGGCATTGGATTACTATGAATCTCTGTTCCACACATGTACTAACCCTGGACAGATAGTTAACAAGGCATACAAAGATCTCAGATAAAATGCAGACACCAAAAAATTAACCCTCTCACTGGCAATATACTGTTCTCATGCTCAGTCTCAAAGAGAGCTGTTTGTTAGACTGGTGGTTGCCAAGGGGCAGGGGGTTGGGGGAGGGATGGAGTGGGAGGTTGAGGTTAGCAGATGTAAGCTTTTACATATAGAATGGATAAACAACAAGTTCCTACTGTATAGCGAAGAGAACTATATTCACTAGCCTATGATAAACCATAATGGAAAAGAATACATTAAAAGAAAAGCATATATATGTATAACTGAATCACTTTGCTGTACAGCAGTAATTAACACAACATTGTAAATCAACTATACTTCAATTAAAAAAAAACAAAGAGAGCTGTTTATTAATGTCACCTTTCCTCTCCACATATACATGTCACCCAGGTTAAATTATATAACCTCTCTGTGCCTTTTGTTTTTCTCAGCTTTAAAATGGAGATGATAATAGTGCCTATCCTCACAGGATTAAATGAGAAGACTGAATGAGGTAATATAAACACTTAAAAACAGTGCCTCACATATAAAGCACAAAGTAAGCATTTGCACATTATTATTTTATTACCGTTACTTAGTAAAATATCGAGTTCTAAAATTAATATATCAAAAACAGAAACTTTCCTATATATAAAAATATCCAGGGCTTCCCTGGTGGCGCAGTGGTTAGGAATCCGCCTGCCAATGCAGGGAACATGGGTTTGATTCCTGGTCCGGGAAGATCCCATATGCTGCGGAGCAACTACGCCCGTGCGCCACAACTATTGAGCCTGCACTCTAGAGCCCGCGTGCCTAGAGCCTGTGCTCCGCAACAAGAGAAGCCACCGCAATGACAAGCCCACACACTGAAACGAAGAGTAGCCTCCGCTTGCTGCAACTAAAAGGAAAGCCTGTGCGCAGCAACGAAGACCCAACACAGCCAAAAAAATAAATTAATTTAAAAAAATCTGTTTCAAAAGCATAATAGAAGATCCAATTCACATGGAACCATGAAAAATATTATGGCAATATGCAGTATCTATATAAAGAAAATAATGATTCTTAAGGTCATATTTTCCCTAAATTAACCTATAAATTTACTGTACACCTAATGAAAATATCAAAATAACTTTTGGTATTAACGAGACTAAAGTTCATTTTTAAAAAATGTAATACCCAGGGAATTTCTGAAAAATATTGTAATTTTGGTATGGGTGGTATGGGTGGAATAGAGATTACGTCCACATATTAACACACCATGAATCAAAATAGGGAATAAACTGGGAGCCTGGGACTGACATATACACACAACTATATATAAAATACATAATAAGGACCTACTGTATAGCACAGGGAACTCTACTCAATAGTCTATAATGACTTATATGGGAAAAGAATGGTATATGTATAACTGATTCACTTTGCTGCACACCTGAAACTAATACAACATTGTACATCAACTATATTCCAATAAAAAAAAATAGAGAAAAAGAGATACAAACTATAAGTCAATAAAACAGAATCCAGAAATAGACCAAAATACAAACTTAGTTTATGAGAAAGGTAGTATTTCAGTTCAGTTGGGGAAAGAAGGATTACCCAGTAAAATGTGGTATAGTATCTGACTATTTAGAAAGAAATAAGGATGGATCTCTGTTAAATACTGTATCAGTCAGGGTTCACGGGAGAACAGAAACTCCTCTAGATATTTCAAGAAGTGTTTTAACATATAGAGAATTAAGTCCTTAAAAATCATGGAAAAAGCTGTAAGGGCAGAAACTAGGGGCCATATTTTTAGACTTAAGGTCATATCACCATCTGATCCAGAGAACAGGAAGCTAATGCCACCAGTTGCCACCAGCATTGCCTCATACCCATGAAGCAGGTGAGAGACACTAAAATGTGGAGTCTGGTTGCTACAAACAACTCCTGTCGGAAGCAACTTGCTTGTCCATTGGCACAGCTGCAGCAGATGGCCTCTGCCTCCCTTCTAACTTCAAAACTTGACCAAATGCAAGTCGTTGGCAGAATCTAACCTGTTCAGAACCCCACTTACCTTTGAGTCTGCAAAACTTCCTTTTTAGCTTTCATCCCCTGTGGTATGGAATGGGGAGGCATGGGACATAATGCCAAGTGCTAAGAGACAATATCTAGCACAGATTCTCATACTAAAACCAATTCCAGATGGATAAAAGAGTTACCTGTAAAAAATAAAATGAACCTATCAAAATGCTCTAGAAGATCGATGGGTGAATTTACAATCTCAGGTGCAAAGATATTTCTAAGTACAACATAAATTTGCAAGCCACACAGGAAAAGTGATGGATTGATCTACATAAAAATTTTATATTTTTAGTATTTAATTAATTAATTAATTAATTTGGCTCCATCGGGTCTTAGTTGTGGCACGTGGGATCTTTAGTTGCTGTGTGCGGGGTCTTTTTAGTTGTGCTGTGGGGGATCTTTTAGTTGCAGCATGCCAACACTTAGTTGCAGCATGGCAGCATGTAGGATCTAGTTCCCTGACCAGGGATCGAACCCAGGCCCCCTGCATTGAGAGCGTGGAGGCTTAGCCCCTGGACCACCAGCGAAGTCCCTAGATAAAAATTGTAAATGGTGATATCTATCAGTATTTTAAATGCACAAATACTTAGACAGCTATGTCCTCGCTAGAAATTTATATTATAGAAATATTTGTGTAAGTTTGCACAGATATGTACCCAAACAATGCAGCATTATTTGTAAGAGCAAAACTCTGAAGATGAGTGATATATAAATTACAGTCCACTCTATGATAGAACCCTATGAGGCCAGGTAAAAGGAGAGATTTGAAATGAAGATGTTCCCTTTGTGTAACACATGTGCACACATATCCTTACATTATCCAACCGTATACAAAGATAACATTATTTTCTTAGGTCAAAGGGAGTTATCTTGGTGGGAAGATTATGATGCATTCTTTTTCTTCTTTGTAATTCTCTGACTTAGAACTTTAAAATTTCCCAAATTCCCCTTCCTCCCTGCCAAAAAACAGAGATAATTTTTGTAAGTATATATTTATTTTCTCTTTGAATGTTCATGATTATTTTTGTTTGCTAATTTAAACATACATTATTCAGAATTATACAAAATTGTGTTCTTCAGAAGTATCTAGCAACAGTATATGCTGTGAAATCATTCTATTCCTATTAATGACTAAATTACTTTACATATAAAAGAAGTTATGAATTTCAGTTGGAAGAAAAACTGCACTTACAGGAAATCATTCTATCATACATACAAGTTCACAGTTTTTACTTTTACAACCTTTTCATTTAAAATCATTCTTTCCCAAAACACTATACTTCAGCATTAGACAGATAAGTATCCAATAAGTAATTAGCATGTACATAGGTGGCTGTGAAAAATTACCCATAACTGTAATATATTCTGTTCCAAAGCTGAAAATATTTCCTTTTAGAAAGCATTTTAACATTTCTTCTCATCATCTATAAAGCAGCAACAATATTTAAATTAAAAATGGCAAATCCAGGGCTTCCCTGGTGGCGCAGTGGTTGAGAGTCCGCCTGCCGATGCAGGGGACACGGGTTCATGCCCCGGTCCGGGAAGATCCCACATGCCGCGGAGCGGCTGGGCCTGTGAGTCATGGCCGCTGAGCCTGCGCATTCGGAGCCTGTGCGGCGCAACGGGAGAGGCCACCACAGTGAGAGGCCCGCGTATCACAAAAAGGCAAATCCAATGATATGCAATCATAAACAGTCCCTTAAGAAATATATTTGAAAAGTCATTATTCCTTAAAATATTTACATTTTTTAAATTACATGACAGCCACAACGTCTTGATCTACTTTAGTTGATCAAATTAATAAGAATCTCCAAATCCCTCCTCCGCTAAAATACTATTCATCTTTAATAAAGGAGACTTTATCCTTGGGTTTATTCAGCATCTTTATATCATCCAACAGCTTTTTGGGTGTTAAAATATGTGTGGAACCTGGTAGAGGAAAAGAGAAATTTTCAGAGGCCAGCAGTTAAATCAATTTTCCTTGGCTAATTATATTGTCCTGTCCTTCAAATATGCAAAGTGCAGTAGCTTGGGGCAACTTAACAAAATTTCTATAGGATGCCTTCCTGAAATCTGCCTAAACTACAGTATTTCAATCCTTCCTCTTCATTGAGCACACTCAGTAACCCTTCAAAAATACAGCCCACTCCTAGAGCTTTGTCCACTTTGTGCTATATATTGATAAACTGAAGACCAAAACTGGAGGTTAGTCTGTCCTCCTGACAAAGCAGCAACAGGCACTGTGAGTTCAGTCACAGAGAACTGTTAAACAGTGCCGCTGATTGAGGCTTGGCATATAAATGCGGCACCTCCACGGGTCAGGAGAGTTTCAGTATCAGTGGCTTTGACTGAAATTCTTAAAACTAAATTCCATACAGGCCTGACCAATGTCAGGTCCACAGACAGAAAAAATTTCAAAATATTTCTGTAGTAGAAATGTATGTTTCAAAAATTATTTAATCATGAGGGCAAGAAAAGGGTAGGATGTAATATTTTAAAGGATATATTCTTTATGTAATATTTAGAATATTATAAAGAATATATATAATATATAATACATTATATAATATATATTATAAAGATTATAAAGAATATTTCTGAAGCTCATTCTCTCAAAATCAGAATTTTAATAAAAAAATAATCAAAAAAGTCAACCAGGAAAAAACTCTGGTACATCAGATAAAACAAACTATGATTTAAAAAATACTTTTTTGCACTCAACAATTTAGTCCTAAATGTAAACTACAAGATAAAGTTTTACATATATATTTTTGCATTTAGAGTTTGTTTTAAAAAAACAGAGAAGAGGAAAACACAAGTCTTACCAATAATAACTTCACAGGATTTATGTGCCTGAGATACTTCATAAGCACAACGCATTTCAGAGTATGTAATTCCTCCGATTACAAAAACAATCAGCTTAGACCCATTTTTTCGATCCTCTAAATAATTAGCTCTGGGTTTCTGCCGAGCACTAAAAAATAAACACAAACACATTAAAAATATTTCCAAAGCCATACTGCTTTTAGTCTTTTAAAAGAGCCCAACTCAAGCAAACTCAAATTTGGCACCAGCTGCACTGATTTTAAGGAAATGACTTAACTATGGTATGACTGGAGCATCAAGGGCCAGGCAGGACAGCCCCACTTTAAGTTCAATTTTGATCTACAGAGTTTGAACAAATGACTCATAATCTAGCTCAGCACTTTTACCTATAAAATAGAGCTAAGGCCCTGTCTTATTTATTTCAGATAAAGACATAGTATACCTGAAAAGTCTATGACTTCCTGAAGTTAAAAAAAGGGGGGGAGATGGCATTGAGACAATAGGGTTTTAAAGACATAGAGGGGGTGAAGGAGGCACAGGTGCTGCTTTGGAGCTGACGTGGTACCAGAACGTCCCTTGCTGGAACTCTACTAGTAAAGTATGATTATAGGAGATATCGAACACATATCTGCACTCCTGTGGTCACTGCAGTATTATTCACAATAGTCAAGATATGAAAACAACCTAAATGTCCATCAATGGATAAAGAAAATGGTATATATATAGAGTGGAATATTATTCAGGCTTAAAAAAGAAGCAAATTCTTCCATTTGCAACAACATGAATGAACCTGAAGGATATTATGCTAAGTGAAAAAGGCCAGACTCAGAAAGACTGCATGATCTCACTTATATGTGGAATCTAAAATAGTCAAACTGCTCTTTGGTCTTGGCGGCAGAAGCGAGATGATGAAGGGAACGTCATCGTTTGGAAAGCATCGGAATAAGACGCACATGTTGTGCCGCCACTGTGGCTCTAAGGCCTACCACATTCAGAAGTCAACCTGTGGCAAATGTGGCTATCCTGCCAAGCGGAAGAGAAAGTATAACTGGAGTGCTAAAGCTAAAAGACGAAGTACCACCCAGACTGGTCGAATGAGGAACCTAAAAACTATACACCGCAGATTCAGGCATGGGTTCCGTGAAGGAAAAACACCTAAGTCCAAGAGGGCAGCTTTTGCAGCAACCAGTTCATCTTAAGGACTTCAATGACTAGTCACGCAATAAATGTTCTGGTTTTAAATAATAAAATAAAATAAAATAAAAAAGCCAAATTGATAGAAGTGGAGGATACAATGTTGGTTGCCGGGGAATGGGTGGAGAAGAAAAAGAGGCAATGTTGCTCAAAGGGCACAAAGTTTCAACTATGCAAGATGAGTAAGTTCTAGAGATCTAATGTACAGCATGGTGACTATAGTTAACAAAACTGTACTGTATATTTGAAATATGCTAAGAGGATAGATCTTAAATTAAGTCTTTATGCCACAAAAGAAGGAAAAGAAAACAAAAGGAAAAAAAGGTAATTATGGATATATTAACTAGTTTGTGGTGATTTCCCAATGTATATGTATCAAAACATCAAGTTGTATACCTTAAAAATATACGTTATGAAGTCAATTGTAACTCAATAATGCTGTTAAAAAAAAAAAAGAGAGCCACCTGGGTTTCAACTCTGATTCTGCTTCTTTTTAATTCTCTACGATTTTTAGTAAGTTACTTAACCTCTCTGTAAACCTAAAGGGTTGTTTTCAAGATTAAATGAAATAATGTACAGAATACACTAAGTATGGAATCTAGTACTAGGAAAGCACTAAACAAACAGAACTACAATTTCTACTACTTCCCCCCTTAGATAGCTCTAGATCTGCACACTGGCCAAGATAGCAGCCACTAGCCACATGAGGCTATTTAAATTTAAATTAACTAAAATTAAAAATTCAGTTTCTCAGTCATGATATGTGGCTAGTGGTTATCATATAGGACAGTGCAGATATAGGATTTCCATCACTGCAAGAAAGTTGTATTGGGTAGCACTGCCCTAGGTCACAGAAACCACTATTTTTGTTCCCATACCCCACTGGTAAAAATTCTGAGCTTTTATTTGAAAAGTAAATAAATATTTTAAAATAAACACGTACATCTATTAAAAATATATATTAGTTTATAAATTATATATGTGTATTAGTATATACTAATAAAGCTTAATTTCTCCTTTTTCTAGTATAAAAATAATACCCAATAGATCATCTTATTACCCACTTTGGAAACCATATACTAGATGACCTCTAAGACCCTGCAATGTAGGATATCATGGTAAACTTTTTTAAAAAATAAATTCATTTATTTATTTTTGGCTGCACTGGGTCTTTGTTGCTGCATGCAGGCTTTCTCTAGTTGTGGCGAGTGGGCACTACTCTTCATTGCGGTGCATGGGCTTCTCATTGCGGTGGCTTCTCTTGTGAAGCACAGGCTGTAGGCGCACGGGCTTCAGTAGTTGTGGCTCGCGGGCTCTAGAGCGCAGGCTCAGTAGTTGTGGTACATGGGCTTAGCTGCTCCATGGGATGTGGGATCTTCCCAGACCAGGGCTTGAACCCGTGTACCCTGCATTGGCAGGGGGATTCTTTTTTTAAAATTTATTTATTTATTTATTGGCTGCATTGGATCTTTGTTGCTGTGTGAGAGCTTTCTCTAGTTGCAGCGAGCGGGGGCTACTCTTTGTTGCGGTGCACGGGCTTCTCATTGTGGTGGCTTCTCTTTGCTGTGGAGCACAGGCTCTAGGCACGCGGGCTGAAGTAGTTGTGGCTCACGGGCTCAGTAGCTCCACGGCATGTGGGATCTTCCAGGACCAGGGCTCTAACCCGTGTCCCCTGAATTGGCAGGCAAATTCTTAATCACTGCGCCACCAAGGAAGTCCCGGCAGGCGGATTCTTAACCAGTGTGCCACCAGGGAAGTCCATGGTAAACTTTTTTTTTTTTTTTTGCGATACGCAGGCCTCTCACTGCTGTGGCCTCTCCCGTTGCGGAGCACCAGCTCCGGATGCGCAGGCTCAGCAGCCATGGCTCATGGGCCCAGCCACTCTGCGGCATGTGGGATCTTCCCAGACCGGGGCACGAACCCGTGTTCCCTGCATCGGCAGGCGGACTCTCAACCACTGCGCCATCAGGGAAGCCCCATGGTAAACTTTTAATAATGTTCTCAGTCTAGCCTTTGGATGGTAATTTCCATCTGCCATCTTAAGGAATGACAGGGTAGTAAACAACAGAAATAGTAAAGAGACTTAGTAGTTGGTTTTGAAAGATGAAACAGGAACAAGATACACTCTTGGTTCCCATACAAAATAAATCAAGGACATACTAAAAGTACAACCTTGGTTTAAAAACTTTGCAAAGAGAGTGAAATAAAGTATGAAAGCAAAAGAAAAGGAAGTAATATTGCTCAAAATGATTATGTGATTGTAACGATTTTTAAATTTCTGAAGAGCAATTTTAGGACAGTAGGATTACATTTAATTTGTTTCACATAAATGTGTAAGACACTGTGCTAGTGTTTTACACTCTGAAAGACACATAAATAATGATTAAATCCCTGTATCCTGAAAATCTCACTCTAGAAAGCACCTAGAGGCATTTGTTAAAATAAGAGCAAACATCTTTTTAAAAGCATAGCTGAAAGTAAACAAGTAAGAGCAATCTTCAAGGGCCAGCAGCAGTACAAAGGAAACTAAAAACTAGAGTGGTAAACTGAGTTGAGGCTTGCTCTGCCTTATAGTGTTAGTCTAATCTTAGCAAACAAGGGGTCTGGGTGTTTCCCTGTTTAATGAACACAGAAGACAAAGTCTTGGATATTGTGCAAGGTAGAGATGGGGAGGTGACACCCTTGCATAAGGTCAGGACACACTCAAAAGCAAGGAGAGATGACAAAGAAGCTTCTTGCCTGATAATTCAACACAGGCCTGTCCCGTGAGAGCTCTAACTTACACTACCTTCATAGGCTGGGGAACCCCAACTGAGAAATTAACATACAAAAGAAAAAAGTCTTTAACCTTGGCAGAAGCAAATGCAAAACCTCTCTGAAGGTACCCACTCTCAATCCTGGCTACTGAAATAAGTTCAGAATCCAAAATTATGAAGCACACGAGGAAATAAGCAAGCATAAGTGTCTGCGGAAATGAAAAAGCAGTAAAATTAGACCCCAAAGAATGTCAGATGTTGAATTTAGTAAAAGTCTAAAATTAAGTATGTTGAAAATGATAAATGATAATAAAGTAGAACAGAAAGCATGACAAAATAACAAAGAAGTCCAAGCATATTTGAAAAAGAAACAAGGAGAACTTCTAAAATAAAGGAAAAGTAAAGTCAATGAACATAGAAGCTCAAAAAATATATACATATACACAGGTTACTCAGCAGATTAGGCACAAATTTAAGAAAGAACTAAAGAATTGAAAACTAAATCCAAAGAAAAATTTCCAAAATGAAACACAAAAAGTAAAATAAATATTAAAACTTGAGAGATTATGAGGCATGAAGATAAAATGAGATGTTTGAATAAAACCAAGACTGCAGAAGTGGCAATATTTGAAGAATTTATGGAAGATATGAAACTTCAGATTTTAGGAAACACACTGAATCCCAAGGAAAGAAATAAAAATAAACCCTCAGGTAGACACAGCACAGGAAATGTACAGAATACCAAAGACAAAAAGCACCAGAGAGAAAAGGCAAATTACCTATAAAAGTATGACAAAACTGTCTGAAAACACCCCATCCCCATACACACACCTTCCCAAGAGCTAAAATGGAAACCAAGAAACAGGAGAATAACATTTCAAAGTGTTGAGTGAAAATTAACATGAGTCTAGAAATTCAAAGCTATCATGTAAGAACAATGACAAAATGAAGACATTTTCAGACAGACAAAACCACAGAGACCCTATCACCAACAGACCCACACTGAAGAAATTTCTAAAGGATATGATATATTTCAGGAAAGAAAACAAATGAGCCCAAAAAACGGGATGCAAGGGACTCCCCTGGTGGTGCAGTGGTTAAGAATCCACCTGCCAATGCAGGGGACACAGGTTTGATCCCTGGTCCGGGAAGATCCCACATGCCATGGAGCAACTAAGCCCGTGTGCCACAACTACTGAGCCTGCGCTCTAGAGCCCATGAGCCACAACTACTGAGCCCACATGCCACAATTAGTGAAGCCCACGCACCTAGAGCCCACGCTCCACAACAAGAGAAGCCACTGCAATGAGAAGCCTGCGCACCACAACAAAGAGTAGACCCCGCTCACTGCAACTCCTGCGTGCAGCAACAAAGACCCAACGCAGCCAAAAGTAAAATGAAATTAATTTTTTAAAAAAGGGATGAAAGCAGAAGTGGTGCGCAATATAACTGGTTAGTATGCACACACAACTAAAAAATAATGCTCATCATTAATTTGGGAAATAAAAAAGATATAAGGTGAAAACAATAAAGAATTAAGAGAACATTTAAAGGGTGCGTAGTTTGAATTAAGTTGTTCTAAAGTTCTGTATTGTTCATGAGAAGGGCAAAGATAACTTATCTCAGACTTTGTTGAGTCAAAGAAGTGTACTAAAATTCTAAGGATAATAGCTACAAAAGTACAAAAAGGCTATATAACTTCCAAACCAGGAGAAAAGGGAAAAATAAAACTAAAGAAAAAGTCCTCAGACCAAGAGAATCACCCTAGAGAAATACTCAAACACACGTAAATGTACAAGAATGCTCATTGCATATTGTTTGTAATGGTGCCAGTTTTGACACAGCCTAAATTTCCTTTGTGTGGAAAATGCATGAATAAACTGTGATACTCACATAAGAATACACCAACCAGCAGTGAAAATTTATGCATGTTATCAATTTGGGATAAATTTCACAAACATAATGTTGAGGGAAATTTAAAAAGGAAGTTGCAGGAGGACACATACAAGATGACACCATGTATATTAAGATTAAAAACACAGTCAAAGACAACTTGTGGTCATGGTGGAATAAGATGGTCAGAAGATTGCCCTCCAAGAAAACAAGTATAAACCTGGATGAAATTGTGGGGGGAAAAACCAGTTCAGGTCACTTGGAAATCAACCACAGGCAAACAGCAAATTGAGAAGCACTTACTCTTAAAAAATATGTTAGCATGTTGGTAAGAATGGTGGTAGTGAATACGTGACCTTCTAGCCTGAGGCTACACTCAACCTGCACTGTTCTTCCAACTCAATCAGCAAAAACTATAGCTTTACTGACCTGAGGCTGGCTGAGAGAACCACCAACTTTACTGCCTGAGGTGGAAGACTTGATTCAAGGTAGGGAGCGAAAGGAGTACAAAATCCTGCAGCTTTGCTACTTAAAAACGGCAGACCTGTTTAGAACAGGAAGACCTGCAGCTCTGGTAGCACAACATCTTGGTTCCAGTATGGGATAGGTGGCACATCAGCCAGAAATTTAATGGGGAAATCCTGAACGTACGAAAGCCAAAGAAGACAAAGACAAACTCTCCCCATATCCTTAGCTGACTGCCAAATTATGCTTGAGCCAGGACAAGCCAGAGAAAGCCCAGGGAAAGAATAGGAAAAAAAAAGAAGGGTGGGGGGGGGGGGGGGGAGACTCAAGAACTGACTCTGACTTGTAATGCAGTTCTTAACCCACACTCAGATTGATCAGCAGATGATGGAAGGTGTGAGGTGTCTAAACACAACCTCTGCCCAGATAACTGGCTGACCTCTAAACTATTCAGACATAGGGCAACCACTAGAAACCAAGCAAAAAAATTAAATTTAAAATTAAAAACCCCTGCAATGACATCAGTGGCTAAACTGCAGGGGGGCAGTGATCCCACAGCTTAAGTGCATACAAGTTACTAAAACAAAAAACAATTTAGAGTTGCTACAGTACAGTATCTAAAAGATCCAACTTTCAAGCAAAAATTAGTCAATATGTAAGAAAACAGTAAAGTGTGTCCCACACGTTGGAAAAAAGCCATCAATAGAAACTGACCCTGAGTGAATCCAGATGTTGGATTAGCAGACTTTGAAGAATCTATTATAAATATGATCAAATAATTACAGAAAACCATGCTGATACTATGTTAATCAATGGGGAATTTCAAAAGAGAAATGGAAACTAAAAAAGGAGCAAATGGAAATTCAAAATGTGAAAAGCACAATAACTGAAATGAAAAATTCACTAGATGGGCTCAATAGCAGATTTGAGATGTCAGAAGAAAGAATCAAAGAATTGAAGATGGATCAATAGATATTAGCATATCTGAAGAAGAGAAAGAAAAAAGGTGGAAGAAAGGTAAACAGCCTCAGTGACCCATGAGACAAAGTCAAACTTTCCAACACATGAGTAATGGAGTTTCAAAAGAAGAGGGAGAGAGAAACAGGCAGAAAAAAAATCTGAAGAAACAGCAACTGAAAACTTCCCAAAATTTGATGAAAAATATTAACTTGTAGATCCAAGAAAACTCAACTACCCCAGGTAGAATAAACACAAAAAGAACTCCGCCTAGACACATCATAGTTAAACTGCTAAAAGCCAAAGACCAAGAGAAAAATCCTGCAAAACACAACTCTATACATCATTTAGAATACAGATATATGTAGAAAATGTATAAAGATGCACAGGTGAATGGTAAACACCAAATTCAGGATAGTGAAGAAAGGGAGAATAAAAATCAGAGAGTGATATATAGGAAGCTTGAACTGTATTTATGATTCATTTGTTAAGCTGGGCACTGAGTATAGGGTATGCATTATAATATTGTCTACAGATTTCTGAATGTCTCAAATATTTTATCACCAAAAAAATCATCAAAAAGGATTATGTCCTCTGCTAATGTGAAGAAAAAAGAAGATGAGTGGAGAAATTCTTCTCTAGTTTCATGAAAGTTTTTTTTATAATAAGGCACATTTTCATATTGCTTATCTGGACTCATCTAAAACAGGTTACAGTTAAAGAAAAACTGCCTTTTAAGTGACTATATGCTTCAAGAAGAGTTACCAATATAGGAATACCTGTGTACCTTTTCAGTTATTAGTCTGTAATTTCATAGAGAAAATTTCACTGGCTTTCATTTATAGGTTTTACCTTACAGCTCCTGAGCCATTCCATACTGCTGGACACTGGGAACAATATGGCCACTCTTTTAAATCTAATCTATTATCAATGGCATCCTAGGAAAGAAAAGAATTAAAACCATCAAGAAAATATTGTAAATTCCAGGATTTTGTTTTACATAAAACTCAAAACTTGTGTTTACAATTAAGGAACATAAGGATATATATTTAATAAAATAAGGTTAGCCCTCTTTTTGAAACTCACAAATCTTAATTGCTACAAAAATTAATGAAATCATTTACTTATTAAACTAATATTCATTGCATGCCTGTATTTCTTCATCTGGAGGGTTCCCACTTTGGTGTGAGAATTCCAGGTACCTTATAAGGATCTTTATCTTTAGAGTGCTAGGGGTTCCTTTTTTTAAAAAATAAATTTACTTATTTTATTATTTATTTATTTAGGCTGTGTTGGGTCTTTTGTTGTTGTGCATGGGCTTTCTCTAGTTGCGGCGAGCGGGGGCTACTCTTCGTTGCAGTGCACGGGCTTCTCATTGCGATGGCTTCTCTTGTTGCGGAGCACAGGCTCTAGGCACATGGGCTTCAGTAGCTGTGGCACGCGGGCTCTAGAGCACAGGCTCAGTAGTTGTGGCGTACGGGCTTAGCTGCTCCGCAGCATGTGGGATCTTCCCAGACCAGGGCTCGAACCTGTGTCCCCTGCATTGGCAGGCGGATTCGTAACCACTGCGCCACCAGGGAAGGCCAGTGTTAGGGGTTTCTAAATACCATCTTAATCCTGGCAGACCTCTTAGGCTACTGGAGTCCAGGCCTTGCCCTTCACAGAGGTGGCTCTAAAACAGAATGTGCATAGCGGTGGCTCGAAAACAGAATGTGGCCTAGGTGTATTCAAGACAAGCCAATGGGATGAGCGAGGCTTTCCTTTTCATTTCATTTTTAAAATTTTCCTTCTTTTTAGGGTTAATATTTTATTATATATTTATGTGTAATTGTATATACTGTACACATAGTGTTTTATCAATACAGAATTTATATGGTTTATAAATAAATAACCATATACTCTAGGCTCCTGATCACATCTATTATGATTAAGTGTGCATGATCAAGAAAGCTTAGAGACCACTGCATTAGAGCATGGTTGTACAAATGGTATCAATAAGTAGGGATGGACACAAGGAATGGGCACAAGGTACTCAGTAGTCCTAGAATATTTCAATAAGACTGCAAGATGTGAAGAAACCAAGTTTCAGGAGAAACCCTGAAGGCCGTAGACTGCCACTGAGGTAAAAGTGGGTTTTCTGAATTTAATATGCAAATCCTTGTTAAAGGGTTTGAGAAGGTCAATTCTTATTTTTAAAATACTAGCAAAGAAAAACTACTTAGTTCTATAGCCTTGTTATGGATCAGGAAAAAAAAAACAACTTATGCTGCAGAAAAAAAAGTCTAAACTCTTTAAACTTTTCATCTATATTAAGCATGTATGAATGACATAGAATTAGTCAAGTAAAACAGAAAAATCATAGGAATAAATTGTATACAATTAGTTTCCATAGGAAAGTAGAAATTAAAGTTTAATAAGTTAAAGGCAAATTGGAATAAATAGAACTATCTGATTATGACTGAAGAATCAATGTCATGACTTTATTGAGCTCATAATGTGATTTTTATTAGTTCATTTTCTAATTTCCTATAATTGAATGTTATTTTCTAAAAGTAATACTAAAGGCATCAGCCATCTGTTGACTATAGAAGCAAACTATAGTGAGGCTTATATTTTTTTCTTAACATCTTTACTGGAGTATAATTGCTTTACAATGGTGTGTTAGTTTCTGCTTTATAATAAAGTGAATCAGCTATACATATACATATATCTCCATATCTCCTCCCTCTTGCTTTTCCCTCCCACCCTCCCTATCCCACCCCTCTAGGTGGTCACAAAGCACTAAGCTGATCTCCCTGTGCTATGAAGCTGCTTCCCACTAGCTATCTATTTTATATCTGGTAGTATATATAAGTCCATGCCACTCTCTCACTTCGTCCCAGCTTACCCTTCCCCCTCCCCGTGTCCTCAAGTCCATTCTCTACATCTGCGTCTTTATTCCTGTCCTGCCCCAGGTTCTTCAGAACCATTTTTTTTTAAGATTCCATATATATGCGTTAGCATATGGTATTTTTCTCTTTCTGACTTACTTCACTCTGTACGACAGTCTCTAGGTCCATCCACCTCACTACAAATAACTCAATTTTGTTTCTTTTTATGGCTGAGTAATATTCCATTGGAGGTTTACATTTTAATCACAAATACATTTCCAAGAATACTGGAGTCTAACACTTTCTAATAGTGGTCATAAACAAATGTTATTTTGTTGAACTTTCATTCAACTAAATCATTTATATTTCTGCTACATATAGTTATTTCAAACAGAGTTTTTTTCATAAAACATGTGTATGCTTTTTTTTTTAAATTTATTTTGAGTCCGTCAGTGGTAGGAGAGAATCTTCAAGAGTTTCCTCTCCCTTAACACCAGATACAGCCTTCTTTTGTGAACTCTCCCAGTACTGCAGATAATTCCTAACCCATAGATATGCTCAGACTGACAGATAAATATACAAAGAGTAAAAAATATTGTACAGAAGGGCACTCATTTAATTAATTTTACCTCCAAAATATCTTTGATAAAAGGTGTCCATCGAGAGAGCTGAAACGTTTCTTCTGCAGACCGATCCTTTCTTAATGGTTTGCCTTGTTGAGACTAATATAATTAGAGGAAAAACTTAAAAATCAGTAATTTTATTTAGTGATATTCTCTTAAGTTTTCTAACAAGATGTTTAATTTACAACAAACACTATGGTGCAGTTGACTTAAAACTAAGAGTGGAAAAGCCTACTCAAAAAATCTGAATAGGTGTGGTCACATAACTTCACAGTATTTTGTGCATTAATGATAAAATTTATGACAGTATCAGAAAATATGTTTACTCCAAAGTGCTTATATATAACTCGATGGGAAAGAG